GGGCTGTGAGCACCCATGGGTGCCAGCCCCATGCCCTGCAGGAGGCTGGGGCAGCACAAAGTGTTTGTGGTTTGTTTTTTTTTGGGGGGGGGTCGTTTAGATTTCCCTACCCCTCCAAAAGCTGCCCCACTGCAGCACGCTGTTACCCTGACCCCCCCCTTCTCCAGCCTCGCAGGGAGCACGGTGCACCTTCCCAATGGGGCTGAACACCCCAAAAACATTTTATTTTTTTGGGGGGGGCCACGATTGGACAGGCTGGGGCTTCACATCCCCAATTCCACCCCCCCACACACCCCACACACGTCCTAAACTTCCCCCAGGCTGAGCCTACAGCCGGGTGGGGGCACGGTGGGGCGGTTTTGGGGTGTGTAGGACTTTTCCCCGGTGGCTCCCCAGGACGGGCCCCCCCCTTCTTTATCCCGTCCCCCCTGCCCCCCCCCCCCCCGATTCCTGCCGGAGCCTTCTGACCTCACTGTGCTCTGGCGGAGCATCATAGCGGTCGCCACGGCAACAGCGGCGTTGTCATTGACAGCAGCAGCCGCCGCTGCGCAGGGCCGCACGCTGCCACGACCCCCCCCCCAAAATAAAAAAAAATAATAAAAAAAAACCAAACCCACCTCCCCCGCTTACACCCCCAAACAGCCCCCCTCCCTCCCGCTCCCCTCCTCCGCAATCCATTCAGCGGCTTCACATCCCCCAAAAACCCTCCTCACCCCCCCCGCCCAGGAACCCTCTCTCCTATAAATTAGGGACCCCCACAGTGCGTGTGCCCCCCTCCCTTTTTATTTTTTTTAATTCCCCCCCCCCGTCGGGGATGGGAGCAGCAGCGCCCGCCCCGTCGGGGCTCTCCGGTTTGGAGGCGCCGCTGCCGCAGCGCTCCCCGCCGCAGCCGTGACTCAGCCCCGGGATTAGTCAGCACCGGGGCCGGCCCACCGGCACCGGCTGCGCAGCGCCTCCCCCGGAGCACCGCCACCCCCTCCGGGACCGGGGGGGGCCGCATTTTTCCCCCGCACCCCCCCACACCCCACTCCAGCCCACGGTCCCCCGACGCGCGCTCCGTGCGCCCGTGGGAAGGAGCGGGGTGGGGGATGAAGTCTTGTCCCCCCCCCCCCCAAAATGTCCCCGAGGGGGGTGTTGGTGGCGGGGGGGGGGCGTCCCGGAGCGTGGCACGTTGCTGCCATCTCGTGGGCTTTGTAGGTTTTGTTCCCCCCCCCGCGCCCTATAACCACCGCGGTCCCGTCGGGGGCGCTCCCCATGGATAGGGGCGCACGGGGGGGAGCAGCGCGTGGGGAGCTGGTAAGGGGGGGGGGACCCCAAAGTGCGGCATCGTGGTAAAAAGGAGGGGGGCTGGCACGAAAAGGGGTCTTCACCGCCTTGAGCATCGCCCTACAAGGTGTTCCGACTGCCCCATGGAGCATCGCCCCAAAGGGAAGGGGTCCCATCGCCCTGCCAAGAATCACCCCACAATGTGTCCTGCTCCACGGAGCATCACCCCAAAAGGAAGGGGACCCATCGCCTTGCTGAACATCGCCCCCACAAGGCATCCTACTATATCCCATAGAGCACCACCCCAGAGGGAAGGGATCCCATCACCTTGCTGAGCATCACCCTAAAGGGAAGGGGTCCCATTGCCCTGCCAAGCATCACCCCACAATGTGTCCTGCTGCCCCATGGAGCATAACCCCAAAAGGAAGGGGTCCCATCACCCCGCAATGTATCCTACTGCTCCTCGGAGCATCACCCCAAATGGACGGGGTCCCATCGCCCCACTGAGCATTGCCCCAAAGGGAAGGGGATCCCATTACCCCGCTAAGCGTCACCCCACAATGTGTCCTACTGCCCCATGGAACATCACCCCAAAGGGAAGGGGGTCCCATCACCTTGCTGAGCATCACCCCACAGCAAAGGGCTCCTGAGGGTCACCCTGCAGGGCCAGGATCCCATTGCCCCATTTCGCAGCACCCCACAAGGAAGGGATCCCACTGAGCCATCACCTTGCAGGGATGGGGCCCCGTGTTTATCCCAGCATCACCCCAGAAAAAAAAGGATCCTATTGCCCCAACGAGCATCACCCCACCCCACAGAGGCACCCCACAATTAGGGTGCTGTGGCTCTGCCCTTCCTGCCCCCAGAAATAAAGATCCCATGCTTTTGGGGTGCACCGGGCACGTTAGGAGCACCTGGTGGGGCTCAGCTCGGCCACGAGGCAGCCCCAAACCCTCAGCTCCCCCAGCCGGGAGCCGCTCATCACTGTCACGAGTTTCCCGGCCTCAGCCTGGCGATGCTGGGGGGGGTTCTCTCAGCCCCCCTACGAGGGCCAGGGCCAGGCGGGGGCCACGCAGGGGGGGCTGCCGTGCCCCCGGCACCGCCGGCGAAATGAAGTGCGAGCTGCCAGCGGGGGCTCCAGGCTCCTGGCGGTGCCGGATGCGGCCCGGCTGGCCAAGGCGCCCTAATGGAACACATGTGTGTGGGCTTCGGGGAGAGGCTGCGCTGGGAAACAGGGCCCTGCGGAGACCGGGGGGCTGTATCCTGTCCAAAAGCCCAGGTCCCACATGAAGCCAGGCATGCGAGCGCGATCCAAACCACAGCTGGATTTGAACCGAATCTCCCAGCATCTGGGCTAATTTGCTGCGCCGTGATTGATCGTGGGGAGGGGGCACGGGGCGGGAGACGCTCCAGCGCAGACCTCCCAACAGAGCCAATGACTTCAGCAGAGCTGTTTCCAATCTGCTCAGCACATTGAGGCGAAAATGCCCCTTTTCCTGCGCGCTCCTGGGCGCCCGCGCTGCCTCCTCCCGCAGCCACTCGTGCAAGGATGCGGCCGGGGGGACAGGAGGGGTCCTTCAGTGCGCCCCCCCCCCCTCCTCACTCCCCACCTGCCCCAGCCCCTGGGCGATGGGTGAGGAGGCGCAGAGGGTGGGGAGGTTGCAGGTTCCGCGCTCCCTGCTCCGGGTTTGTGCCCCGGGGGCTCAGCATCACTCAGCAGGTAGCTGGGGCAGCCCTGGGTCCCGGCCGGCCCCCGGGGGGGGAGCTGTCTGGGAGCCGCTGGGCTGCCGTGATTTATGCAGCTCAGCCCCGTAAATTACCCGGACGGAGCCCGCGGGAGCCATCGCTCACAGCGACGTCCAGAGCTCCCTGCCAGAACCTGAAACACTTCCAGCCGTTAATTGAACAGGAAAAAAAAAAAAAAAGGAAAAAAAAAAAGGAAAAAAAAGTAAAAAAGAAAAAAAAAAAAAAAGAGGGAAATTAGTGCCCGGGGAGCTGAGATTAAACCCCGGCTCTGCACCGACGTTTGTTCGCCTTCGTCCCGCTCCCAGCATCCTGGCGGTGCGAGCCCAGGATGGGGACCGGGGAGGGATTTGGGGTGCGGGGTCCTCCCCTGCGCCGTGCCCGCTGCAGGGTCCCCTCGGGCCGTGCCCCCGTGCCCAGGTCCCGGGGTGGTGGCCCCAGCCCGAGCGGGGACGTCCCGGCTCCGTGGGTGCCCGTGGCCGAGCTGCCGGTGATGCTGACCCCCCGAGGGCGTTTTTGGGGAGCAGCCACACGCGTGGCAGTGCCCGTCCCCAAATTCGTCCCCGAGCACCAAATTCGCGCTGGGGACAGCGCCGAGGCCACCACTGCGGGGCCCCAGCGCCAGCTCCTGCTCCCCAAGAGCCCAGGGGGGAGACCCCCAAAATCGGGGAGGGGGGTGGCCGATGCTGGGGGCACCCAGCCCTGGCGGTGGGGTGCCCCCAGCCCCCCTGGAGGTGCCGCGGCCGTGGAAGCTGCGGCCCCGGGGCTTGCGCAAGCGGCTGCGGCCGTGAGAAAGGAGAAGCGAAAGAGCGAAGCGAGAGGCAGCGCCTGCGGTCGGGGGCAGCCGGGCTGCGCCCCCCCCCCCCGACCCAGCAAGCAGATATTTCGGTGCGGAAGGAGGCGGGGGGGGGGGGGACACGAGGTGAGGGTGTTGCCCCCTCCCTCCCCCCGCTCCTCCTCTCCCCGCCCCGCCGCAGCCCCCCCGGCCCACCCCAAGCCGCCACCGCTGCTGCCGCACATCTGGGCGCCAGGGCTGTGCCCCCCCCGCCTTCGTGCTCCCCCCCTCCATCAGCGGCAAATCAGGGCCGGCTGAGTTCCCCCCCCACACCCCGGCACCCCCCCCCGACGGCTTTTCCTTGCGGGGCGCCCCTGAGAAAGGAAGAAGGCGAAGGGGGGGGTCACGTCGAGGTGTCCCACCGGGGGCCACCCTTCCTTCCAAGGCAGCACCGGAGGTGGCGGGGGGGGGGACAGCGGGGGAGCACCCCCCCCTTAATAAAAAAAAAACAACAACCACCCTCCGCCCTCCTCCCCAAAACCCAGCCCCGCCGCCACCACGGGACGCCCCGTCGGGGCGGCCGCGCACCTGCACGGGGAGGAGCCGCGGGTGTCCCCCCCCCCATCCACCCTGCGTCCCCTCCTTCCCCTCCCGGTCCCCCCCCCGTCCTCTCCCCCCCCTCCCCAGGCCCTTTCCGAGCCCCGACGGCGGGGGCGGAGCGCGGCGGGGGCCGCTAGATGGCGCCCCACGAACGGAGCCGGGCCGCGGGCAGGGAGGCAGCGGCGGCGCCGGGGGAGCCGCGGGGTAGGTGCCGTCGGGGCGCTGCGGCCGCGCCGTCGGGGCTCACCTGGTGATGGGAAGGGAAAAAGGGGAGCCCGGGAGAGGACCCAGAGAAAGGGAACGGGGGTCGGGAGACCACCCCCGGGGGGATTCACCTCGGTGGGTCCGGGTAAAGAGGGTCCCCCCCATCCCTTCCCTTTGCGCCCCCCGAGGAGCGGGAGCCCCGAAGGGGCGGTGGGAGCGGGCGGGAGGCGGCGCCGCCGTTTCTCCCGCTCCCGCCGGGGCGGAGGGGGAAAGAGGGCTCGGAGAAAGGAGGAGGAGGAGGAGGAGAAGAAGGAGGAGGAGGAGGAGGAGGAGGGGGGGGGCCCGGCTTTGGCGTGCCCCGCCCGGGGAGGGGAGGAGGAAACCTCCCGCCGTCCCTTTAACAGCCAGCGGCGCTGCGCGGAGTTCAGGCCGGGGTCAGGGGGAGTTCGCAGCCCGGGTTTCACCTCCGAGCTGGCGGCGCCGGGAGCCCCGAGGAGCCGCCGCCGCCGCCGCCGCCCGCTCCGAGGGGCGCACGGGCGGCCGGGAGCGCCGGGCATGGAGCGGCGGCGGCGGGCGGAGGGCAGCGCCCGGCGGCGCCCCCCCCGGGGCTGAGCCATGAGAGTCCACCGAGACCTCGGCTGGTTGGCGGAGGCCACCGGACGCCCAGGTAAAAAAAAAAAAAATTAAAAAAAGGGAAAAAAAAAAAAAAAAACCGGCCCCGTTCGGCGGCACCCACCGCGGCGGGGAGTGGGGAGGGGAGGGGGGGACCGGCACCGGAGGGGAGGCGGGGAGGGGAGGTCCCGGTCTGTCCCCCCCACACCCTGCATCCCCCTCACCCCCCCCCCGCCCCGCGCCCCCCTCTCCTCTCTCCCCGGCCGTCCCCCCGCTCACCTCGCGGGGGGGCGAAAGGAAACGGGGGCGGGGGGCGCCGGGGGCACGGCCGGCCGCCTCCCGGGACCGGGGCGCATAAGAGCCGGGGAGGCGCCGCGGGGAGCCGGGGCAGCGGCGCGGCGCAGGTAACGGCGAGAGGCGGCCCCGGGGGGGCGGGCGGGCCCCGCTCCGGCTTCTCCCCGCTGCTCGGGGGGGCACCGGGTCGGGCATTTTTCCTCCTCCCCCCCCCATCCACTTCCCTCCGTACCCCCCGTCCATCTCCTCCGGTGGGGCCGGCAGGTGGGAGCTGGGGGCCGGGGCGCTGCCGGGGCGGCGGGGCCGGGGCGCGGCGCGGTGCTGGAAGCTGCCGCGGGTGATGTCACTTTCTCCAAAAATGCCTCCGGGGGTTTTAACCCCCTTCCCCGCCCCCCCGGCCGGCGAGAAGCGAGCCCCGATATAAGCGGTGGCAACGGGCGAGGCGGCGCGCAGAGCGGCCGGGACGCGGTGGCGAGAGAGGGGCCGGGGCTGGGGCTGGGGCTGGGGCTGGGGCCGAGCCCCCCCGGACCCCCGAGGTGCTGGCTGAGCCCCCCCCCTCAATCCACGCGTGGGCTGAGCCCCCCGACGTGGTGGCCGAGCTCCCCCCCCACACCCCTTAACCCGTGGGCCGTGCGCCCGAGCGGGGGCGCGCGGGGCCTGGCGGCGGAGAGCTGACGGGGGCCGTGTGTTGCAGGGCGGCGGGCGAGGAGCGCGATGCTGGACGCCATGGAGGTGCCGAGCCACTCGCGGCAGCTGCTGCTGCAGCTGAACACGCAGCGCACCAAGGGCTTCCTGTGCGACGTGATCATCGTGGTGCAGAACGCGCTCTTCCGCGCGCACAAGAACATCCTGGCGGCCAGCAGCGCCTACCTCAAGTCGCTGGTGGTGCACGACAACCTGCTCAACCTGGACCACGAGATGGTGAGCCCCGGCATCTTCCGCCTCATCCTCGACTTCATCTACACCGGCCGCCTGGCCGAGTGCGAGCCGGGAGGCGAGCAGAGCCTGGGCGCCGTGCTGGCCGCCGCCAGCTACCTCCAGATCCCCGGCCTGGTGGCGCTTTGCAAGAAGAAGCTGAAGCGCAGCGGCAAGTACTGCCACCTGCGCGGGGGCTACGCGCCCTACAAGCTGGGCCGGGGGCTGCGCGCCGCCACGCCGGTCATCCAGGCCTGCTACTCGGGGACGCCGCGGCCCGTGGACCTGCCGCCCGTGGAGCCGGCGGCGCCGCTCAACACGCAGTGCGGGGAGCTCTACGCCTCGGCCTCGCAGGGCACCCCCCTGCACCCCCACGGGCTGTGCCCGCCCGAGCGCCACTGCTCGCCGCCCTGCGGCCTCGACCTCTCCAAGAAGAGCCCCACCGGCCCCTCCGCCCAGCTCCTGCCCACCGACCGCCTGCTGCCCGGCGAGCCCCGCGAGCCCTCGCTGCCCCCGCGGCACGACAGCCCCCCGGTCAGCGCCGGCCTCCTGGCCGGCCACCCCGCCTCCTACAAGGACTCGCCGCCGGGCGGAGAGCCGGGGGGGCACCCTCACGCCGCCGACCCCTTCCGCAGCACGCCGCCCTGCGCTGAGCCCCCCCTGCCCCGTGGTGATGGGCGCGAGCTGATGTACCGCTGGATGAAGCACGAGCCCCTGGGCCCCTACCTGGACGAGGGGGAGGCGGAGAAGGAGCTGGAGCGGGAGGAAAAGGCCGAGTCGCCGCCCGCGGCGCCGCAGCCCCGGTACCCCAGCGTGGAGAGCAACGACCTGGAGCCTGATAACAGCACGAGCGAGGACACGGGCAGCAGCGAGGGGCCCTCGCCCGGCGACTGCGCTGGACCGCTACTGCAACCACCTGGGCTACGAGCCGGAGAGCCTGGGTGACAACCTGTACGTCTGCATCCCTTGCGGCAAGGGCTTCCCCAGCTCAGAGCAGCTCAACGCCCATGTGGAGGCCCACAACGAAGAGGAGCTGTATCACAAGGCGGCGGCAGGAGCAGGCCGTGCCCTTCCTGGACAAGGGTGGCCCGGGGCTGGGTGACATCCTGCGGCCCTACCGCTGCTCGTCCTGTGACAAGTCCTACAAGGACCCGGCCACGCTGCGGCAGCACGAGAAGACGCACTGGCTGACGCGGCCGTACCCCTGCACCATCTGCGGCAAGAAGTTCACGCAGCGCGGCACCATGACCCGCCACATGCGCAGCCACCTCGGCCTCAAGCCCTTCGCCTGCGACGCCTGCGGGATGCGCTTCACGCGCCAGTACCGCCTGACCGAGCACATGCGCATCCACTCGGGCGAGAAGCCCTACGAGTGCCAGGTGTGCGGCGGGAAGTTCGCCCAGCAGCGCAACCTCATCAGCCACATGAAGATGCACGCGGCCGGCCCCGATGGCAAAGCCAAGCTGGACTTCCCCGACAGCGTCTACGCCATGGCCCGGCTCACCGCCGACCAGCTGGGGCTCAAGCAGGAGAAGGCGGCCGAGCTGCTCTCCCACACCTCGCACTTCCTCAGCGACCCCAAGGCCATGGAGAGCCTCTACCCGTTGGCCAAGTTCACGGCCGAGCACCTGGGGCTGAGCCAGGACAAGGCGGCCGAGGTGCTGGCGCAGGCTCCGCACCTCCACGCCGACGCCGCCCGGACCATAGAGCGCTACTCGCCCCCCTAGCGCCCGCCGGGGGCCGCACCGGCCCGGCCGGGGGGCCCGTGGGGTTCCCCGTGCTCCTGCCTCCCCGCATGGAGCTGGGGGGCGGAGGTGGCGGGTGCTCGGCCCCCGGCGCTGCCGCCGGCCCCGGAGAACTCGCTCGTAGCAGAAGGTCCCATGAGAGCTGCCCCGGGCCGGCTGGATGGCGTGTCCTGCGAAGAGCGCCGGGCGCCCCAGCTCGCCTGGGAGCAGCCGATAATTCAGGGACTGCCCTCGTGGCTCGGCCGCCCCCCTCGCCGCCACCGCCGGGCCCCGCGGCGGCTCCCGGGACTGGGGCGGGAGGCGAAGCACAAGCTGTGACGCCGGGCTGAGCCTCGAGGCTTTGGAGGACATGAGCCCGCTCCTTACCTCGGGGCCGTCCCCGTCTCTACCCCCACCCCGGGGTGATGGGGACGCCCTTGGCAGCCCCCCGGCCCCGCGGCGGAACCCGCCGGAGCTCGGCTCTGCTGTGACGGGACCCGGACTGTGCCGCCTCGACCGCCGCGGGCCCGTGAGTAGCTGATCCATCGCAGCCGCAGCGATGCCTCCGAGCTGCCGGCGGCCTCCGGGAGCGGCGAGCAAGGCGGGGAGGTGCACGCCGGCCTCCCCCCGGGGAGCTCGGGGATGGACGGACTGACGGAGGGGCCCGAAGGGTTTCGCGGGGTGGGAGGGAAGGCGGCCGGGGCCGTGCCGTGGCCGTGGCCGTGGCCGGGCAATGCTCTTGGATCCGGAGTGGCACTGACCTCCCGGCCCTGACCCCGCGGCTCGGCGGCCACCCCGCGTTTTTGGGAGGTGGGGCAGGGCCTGTCACAGACTGAGCCCCTGCGCCCTGCCCCAGCAGGCGCCTCGCCATCAGGGATGCCCGGGGCCCCGTGGGGCTGCGGGACCCGCGGGGGCAGCCGGGGAGCCGCCGTCCTTGGGGTGGGGGGCGAGCCCGGCAGCCGCTCACCTCTTTTTGCCAAAGATCCCCGTCCCCAGCACAGCTGGGTCGGGTCGGGTTTGGGGGGGAGCCCGGGCCAGGAGTTTATGACAAAGACAAAGCGCTCGGGTTTGTCAGCTACGCGGACGTGGGCAGGGGAGGCGCGGGGCCACGGGAAGGGGCCGAGGGGGGGCCGGGAGCTGCATGGGGAGAGCCGAGCGTGGCCCTGGGGAGGGAGGCGTGGAGCTGCCCCGGGCTGGGCTGCACTGACAGGGGGCCGAGCCCCCACGGGGTACCCCCGCTGCCCCAGCACCCCTCTCGTGCCTTCTGTTTGGTGCCCCCCTCCGAGTCCGGACCCCCTCCCCTTACCCCTGGCCCGGGCCACGACCCCTCTGCCTGGGGCTAATGTGAAGCTTCTCCCCTCCCCGCGCCCCCTCCTCTCCTTTGCACACGAGGCCCCGGGGCAGTGACCGGCCCCAGCCTCGCAGCCACTGTGCCTTAGCCTGCGCTGGCTGCTCCTGCCCATGGCGCACCCCTCGGCCCCCCCCAGGTCCCCGTTCCCAGCTGGGGACGGGCAGGGGGAGCCTGGTTGGGTCCCTGCCGGGCTGCCCGGGTGCCCCCTGGGGCTCGCCAGCACCCGGCTGGAGCTGCCGTGGGGCACCCGTGCCCCGTTCAGGGGGGGCCAAGCACCGGCAGCAGCTGCACCCAAAGCACAGCTGGAAGCGCCCCGCGGGGCTGCCGGCCGGGTCTGTATCACGTCCGATTTGTACACGGGCTCCTCGCCCTTTTTTCTATAGTCGAAACGGAACGAGCAATAAAGTGACATTAACACGCAAAGCCTCGCGTCCTTCTCTGCCGCGTGGGGCTGGGATGGGGACACTGGGACGTGCCCGTGGAGCTGCCCCACAGCCAGGGGGCATGGGGCTGCGGGAGGGAGGTGAGGGGCTCTGCCTGGTGTGCCCCAGAGCCCCCTTGGTTCATGGGGTGAGCTGCAGGACAGGACAGGACAGGACAGGACAGGATGGGACAGCCACCAACATCCTTACAAGCAGGGACAGGTCCCGCTGCCGTCCCCTCCCTGGTGTCCCCCCCGCCCCAAATCTCTGCCGCAACGCGCCCGCCGAGAGAGAACAGAACACCAGGGCTGCACAGACAAGTGTTTAATACTAAAACTGATTAAAACCAACTTGACAAAATCACCCAAACGCGGCCGCCTCCCCGAGAAACGGGCTCCCCACGGGGAGCGGGGTGGCAGCCTGGCACGGCTGGCCCCGGCGCGCTCAGGCTCTGCTCTCTCCGCGCAGCGTCCCAGGGCACGGGGTGGGCGTCCAGCGGGGCTGCGCGTCCCTCCGAGCTGCTCGTACCTAGGAGTGGCCTCGCAGGGTGAAACTGTTAGAAACAAACCTTTCAAACACACAGCTTTGAGAAGGTGAAGTCCACTGAGCGCAGGTGTGGGCTGGCCCCACGGCAGAGCCGTCGCCCACGTTCATCAATCGGGGCCGTGGTGCTCGTGTTCGCTGCTCCCACCACCTCTCCGTGCGCCCTCCTGCAGGCACCAGCGCCTGCGCTGCTCGGCGACCCCAAAGTCCTGCGCAGGATCCGTGCCTGAGCTGAGCCCAGCCTTTGCCAGGCACTGCCGTGAGCGGCGTTGAGGCCGTGGCACTCGTATGGTGCAGGGACAGGAGCACAAATCCTGCCCGCCTGCGGTGCTGCCCCACAGGGCCACGCTCTGCCGAGGCTCTGACCCCCTTTTGGTCCTCGCCATGGGGCCAGGCAGCCGGCACGGGGTGACAGCGGGCTTCCTGCTCGAACGTGCTCCACACCAGGTCCGAGCCACCCACGCAGGAAAGGAAAATGTCGGGCTGGGTCCTGCTGCTTCCTCTGCCACCTTTGACGCTTCCCTCCCACGGCCGTGGTGGCCCTGGGGGGTCAGTCCCACCCTCCGCTGATGGGACCGGGGCTTGACAGAGCCTCAGGGGGTGCCAGTTCATGGGAAAACGTTCCCTCGTGGCTTCTGGGTCTGCAGTGCCATGGTGGTGGTGACAACGTGGCTCCAAGGGGCTCGGCAGCACCCCGATCCACCTGGTGCAGGATGGACCTGCAGGTGCAGAGCCCTGTGACAAGGTGCCTGTGTCCCTGTGGGGCTTGGGGTGACCCAAAAAGGGGACCCCACAGCTGGCCTTGGGGCCAGGCGCTGCCCAGGCTCTTGGGATGGGACCTGCCATGGGACCCCATCGCGCAGCCCGTCCTGGGGTCCTCAGGGACTCGGAGGGTTTCGTCGGGCTCACGCCGAGTCTTGGGCTGAAAAATGTGTCTGCAGGGAGCGGTGTGGGGACACGGGGCTCGGGGGAGGGACAGGTAATGGTGGGGTGGGAGGGGAGCAGGACAGAAAGCAGCTTGGGGGGGGGGATCGGAGGTGTTCAAAGCCCCCCTCCCCGCAAAGCAGGCAGGGCGCACACCTGCAGCAAACCTACAGGGACGGCTGAAACGCAACTCAAGAAGCAAAACCCTGCAGCAGAGAGAGGACGAGCACCTCTGCAGGCAGCGTCCCCCTCCGCGGGGTGGGGACGGGGGACGTGGTGCTGCCGGGGACGTGCAGGACAAGGAGGCTGGGGCAGGGATGATGGTGAGAGCGGGGCACCCGGCAATGGGGGGAGCTGCCCTTGAAGTTCGTGGCACCCCCGAAGGGTGTGGGCAGGCCCGGGGCACCCCGGGGGAGCCTCGCTGGTGGGGCTGAGCGACACCGAGCCATCCCAAAAGTCTGCGCCGTCGTGTCCCCCGGTCGCTGCCCTCCAAACCCGAGGCGACACCGACCCCACACGACTCGAGAGCTCTCTCTGCAACCAAGCAAACCAAAGCAAAAGGCTGGCGATCCGGCACGGGCGCACCCCAAGCTTCCCTCGGAGGGCAGCAGGGCTCTCCGGCTCTGCTCCAGCGCCTCCCGAAAGGCCGGCGGGCAGCACCCTCAGCGTCCCAGCCTCCGCGTGAACCATCCAGGGCCGTGACCTTCCCAGCTCGCCTGCCCCCCCCGGGGCGTTGGGGGGGGGACACCCCCTTCGCAGCACGGCCATTCCGGGGTGGGTTGAAGACGCGGCGTTTTATTGTTCGTTGAGGGCTGGAAGGCGGCGGTGGCGCACGGTGAGGGCTGCCTCCGGAGCAGGGCTCCCAGCGCAGACGCGCTGCGTTACTCACTCAGGGGGTTTTGGACCCCCCCTCGGCCCCCTCAGCCCTCCTGGGCCCACTTGAGGAAGGTGGGGATGTCCCGCACCGGCACGTTGCGGGTCAGGGCTTTGACTCGCAGGTTCCGATCGTCCGTGAGCAGCACCACTTCGCGGAGCAAACGGATGGGATCGTCTGGGGAGGGGGGAAAAAGACAGAGCGGGGTGAAGCCCGGACCCGATCTACCCCAACCCTCGTGCCCATCCCATGCCAAGTTGCCCCCACCCTGTGCCAAAATGGGGAACGAGCACCCCAAAAAGCGCAGCCACCCGGCGCCCCGGCGGTGCGCCCAGCTCCCCGCAGACAGCCCTTCACCTCTGAGGCCTTTTTCTCCCCCTTGCAGGGGCTCGGGGCTGATTTTTGAGCTCTGCCCCCAGCCAGGAAGACGGGCTGCGACCCTGGCTGCAGCAGGAAGCTGGTGCTGTTACTCTGGCGATCTCATTACGAGATCTAAACCCGAACCCTTGTTTTTTTTTTTTGTTGTTTTTTGTTTTTTTGAGGCGCTTTTCCGAGGAGCCACCGACACCGAGGCGTTTCTGGCGGAGGCTCAGACAGGCAGAAAGAGCTGAAGCCTGAGAAATAACTGGAAGGATCTTGCCCCCAGATGGATGAGCTGCCCCGCACGCAACGCGCCGGGCTGGGGATGTGGGAGCTCCGCTTACGTGTGTGCGAAGCAGGGGAAGCATATGGGGTATGTGTAAGCAGCTGGGTCCTGTGACCAGAGTACTGTTCCTATGAGCACAGGAAACACAGTGCCTCCGAGCCAGGACTGGAATGGAAAAAACAGAGTTTATGGGAGCCCAACATGGGCCCAGATTGGCTGTGCCGGGAGCGGCAGGCCGAGGGGAAGGGAAGGTTCGGGCTGCGCTCACGGTGCCGGGGCCGAGGCGGTGGGAGGAAGGGGTGCACGGGCCCGGCCGTGGGGAGCCAGGGGCTCGGGCGGCCGTGCGGGAGGGCAGGGCTGGGGCCGAGGGCTGCCGAAAGCAGGATCGGGGAGGTTTTGTGCGGACACTTTAAGAAATGTGTAACAATAAACATCCTCTGCTGCGAGCTGGTGACGCGCCTCCTTGTTACAAACCAGAGGCTGTCAGCTTGTCAGGCCCCATTCGCCATAATCCACATGATTTCAAAATTCAGCATCATTTGCACATAAACATTTGGTGACGGTTTCTCTGTGAATCTGACAAGTTAAGCTGCTAAGAATTCGCACTGACAAATGCGGGTTGATTTCTTGGGCAGCTGCTGATCTAATTCCCATCCCCACCGCCCTGGCAGCAGCCCTGGGGCCGTCTGGTCCCAGCACACGCTGCTGATGCCAAGTGGGCGCCAGGAGGAGAACGGCTCGGGCCAGGAGGCACCGGGGCTCGCAGGGAGGAGCCCTCGCCGGCCTCCTCAGCCTCCTGTCCCCCTCGGTGTCCCCCTCGCAGCCTCACAGCCCAGGGACCACAGCGATGGTGGCAGGAGGTGGCCCTGCGCTGGAGCTGCGCCTGCTCTTCTCGCTCTGGGAGAAGGAGGAGCGAGCAAAAGGCACCTGACGAGAGGTTTAATGGGCTTGGTGCATGCTCTGGGGGATAATTCCTGCTAATGGCACTGCTGGCACCATGAAATGGGCTCTGGGGGTGTTGGGAGGGGGCCCCTCACGGGCTGGGGAGTCCCAAAAGGTGCACCCAGAGGTGGGCATTTGGAAACGCAGCAGGAGGGGCGCAGCCTGGGGCTGAGCGGAGGCAGGAGGTGGCACCTTGGTGCTGAAAGAGGCAAAATGTGGGAGGGATCAGCCCCAGGGGCCACCAAAGAGAAGCGAGCAGAGTCTGTGGGCTGCAGCAGAGGGGGACAAAGGGGCTGTGAGGGTGTCCTACCTTTGTTAGAGGGCATGAAGTCCTTGGCCTTGTCGTTGCAGTAGTGGAGGCAGCAGGACAGGATCAGGTCATCGTTGTTTCCCTGGAAGAAAAGGGCAACGTTACCCCTGGCAGGAAAAAAAACCTGCAGCCCCACCACCCTCCTTTCCACGCCGCCCTGGAGATGGTGTCGCAGGGCTGCTCTGAGCCCTAACACAGCCTGCAAAGGGACCGGGCTGCCCGCTGGCTGCTCAGAGCACGCTGACCCCAGGGATGGGGTCCCCTGGTTCCCCCCCGAGGAGGATAAAAACCCTCCAGAGCCCTGCAGCGTGCGCTGGCAGCACGGCCTCGGTGTCCCCATCCCCTTGGGGTCCTGATGCCCCTCACCTGCTGCCCGGTGGTGTCCTCGCTGCGGAAGGAGATGGACTCGAGCTCGTTGCCCCGGCTGGTCAGAGCCCTCAGGCAGTTGTCCCGGCTCTCAAACCTCTCCTCCAGGAACTCGATGGACTTCCTGGCTCTCTCCTGCACTTGGCGGGCATAGCCTGCGGCCCGGTGCTCCATCTCCGGGCCCTTGGCCAGGCCATCCAGCTCGTTTATCACTTCAAACAGGAAGAGGAGGTACAGTTACTAAGGGACAAGGTGCTCTCGTGACCCGCTGCTGAAGCACGCCACTTGCCAAGGCCTCGGGGCCGGGGCACTGGGAGCTGGCTCAGGAAATCTGGGTTCAGCTGCCGCAGCGTCCCCGTGCGCCTGGGCTTGGCCGCGGCTCTGGAAAAGCTTCGC